ACCACAACCACAAAGCACCACAACCACAACCACAAAGCACCACAACCGCAACAACCACAACAACCACGCCCACGCCCACGCCCAAGACCTTGGCTTGTACTGTGCCATCATGGATGAAAAGAAAACATCCAATGGGAAAGTTTGGCAAAGGCCCCTCACCTCAACCCCTGGCTGCTTCTATATACAGTAACCATACTTTCAACGTCTTGATGCTGCCCTCTGCTTCAACTTGTTTTGGTAAAGCAATGGAATTGTTCAAAGAGGTCTTCGTTGAGGCCCTCCAAATCGTCCTTGCTTCAACAACCAGTTGACAAATCAAGACCTAGTGTATACAAAGGGCCACAGCAACAGGGCAGCGAAACGTACTGGTGGTGTGACCGGTCAAAAATTCTCATCACTGATTGCACCCATCTGAGGTCACTGGCCCTGAATTGCAGCACCGAGGCAGAAAGTCAATCCACCTTGCAAAAGATGATCCAACCGGCTCAGCCCTGAACCCTTCCACTGGAAAAGCAAACATAAAATCACGTACACTCAGATCCACCATACACGTCACGCTTCCCGTTGCGGGGCCTAGGACCATACAGCCTTTGCGGCCAACCCTGTCCACAATGCAGGAGATCACCTGGCAATCTTCAGAGATCTAGAATCGGAGACGGGAGCCATGAAATCTTACACAGTTCAGCATGCCAGGCGATCAGCCGGAAAAGCAGCAACAACAGCTCCAATTGCAAATATCCCGGTCACTGTTCCTGAAAGCGGAATTGTCTTTGTTACAGCATGCGGGTGAACACCCGGTGCTAAACAGCACACAAGCAGCGTGTCCTTTTTCAAGGGATTCGATTTCTTCTCCGCTGAGAACGTCTTGACTAAATGATGCCATAGACTCCACACCAGAAATGTAACCAAGGTCCAAACCTCACTGTGTAAGGCAATGTACATCGGTTGCACACTTTTGGGCCATACATGTAGGTGCATGAACCACTCAGATCAGGGGGTGCCAAGGCCCTCACCAAACAGAAACCCACCCAGTGCTGCAAATGCGGCGACAAGAACAACGAAGGTCTTGCCTCAGCAGTTCAAGACATGCTACACCATGGACGCATGGCACACGAGTCCTGCTTCTACAAGAATCTCCGGAAAGCTCCTTTAAGAATCTCCGGAAAGCTCCTTTAGGACTTTTTCCACCCGACTGAGCACAACACTTCCACTTCCTCCCACGATCTGTTCTTGAAGAAGTTCCTCAAGCGCAACATGTCTTGTTCAAAAATGATTCCTTTTCGAGAGGCTGAAGAGTTTGGACTTGCCTCATCTGTAAACTGCATCTTTGTCAATGTGGCACGAACCTTGGAAGCGTTCAAAGTTCAGCTCCCGTTCACTTGCCCAAGCTATGCATACTTACGGAAGCAATGTGAATGCAGAATGTGCATGTAAGAAGTTTATACACAAAATCTCCCTGCATCGGGAGCATTCAAAGCTCTGATAAGTGCTTAGGAGCCTCTTCAAACGGCAGCTCATCATCATGGGGAAGGTCACTGTAAGTCATCTTGGAGACAGCTGTGAAGACGGAAGGCTGAAGGATCAATCGGGGCAAACAAAGAAACTACAGATTTGTGTCTTTCTTTGCCGTTGTCTTGTTTGTTCGTGCGTCTGGTCGTATGGTGAGCAAGCCTTGAGTGGGTTCAAGTGGGGTGTGACTGGCTAAGCTCAACAATTTTGCTCAGCCCATCAAGGGTGCAAGTCATGAGTGAACGGTGGCTGCCTCCAATGCAATTTCTACTTCGAAGCAGTGCCGTGCCGCCCGCAGTTCTTGAGGCCAAAAGCCCAACAAGCCCACAAATGCAGCAAGAAAAGAACAAGTCACTTGACCTCAAACACAGGACCCCCACAGTGTCAACACGTCGCCCTTTTCATTGCCCTCAAGTTGCAGTCTGCTTGTATCTGGCAGTGACGCATGGAAATGCAAGGGGGTCTGGGCACTAGAACGCTCTCTGCCATTCACCGAACTTGCTCAAGACAAAGGTTTAGTTTTCTTGTAGCACAGACTACAATCAATGCAAGATGTGCACGATGGAAAGAACAATCAAGTAGTTGATGGGAGGCCGTCCAAGGTCAGCAAGTATTCCCCAGTCCAATCCTTGTAAAAGGCGAGGCCCAAAACCCCAAGCACGGCGATGGCTGTCCCGCCGATGATGATGGTACCCAGGATTGTAGCTAAAAAGCTCACGATGTTGAACTCGCGATCCTTTTTCGGAGCCGGTGTTGCTTGCCTCCTTGGATAGGGCTTGATATTTTGAAGCGAGACCAGCCGCTTGACATCTTCGATCTGGCTTTGCACCACCCAGCCTTGCTTCTCCTCATCCCATCTGAGGAGCTCCACAGGTTCACCGTTCAGTGAGGTGCGCTCCGTGAATCCATCGAGAATTGCATAGTCACCGACTTCAAAACTTACTGGCTCCTCAGGAAAAGAATGGCGTGATGGCAAGTCTATCTGAGCATACTCAAAACCGCATCGACGGTCACTGTCCTCTTTGACCTCTCCAGCACCTCTTGCCGTTCTAGCTTCGAATCTGCTGCGGGGTGCACCAACCTGGTTTACGAACGCCCGGCACAAGGAGAAAAGCAAAAGCGAAGCCACACCTGTTCGTTGCCAAGGCACGAAGCCACGCCTATCGGAGCCGTTGCAAAGGAGTACTATGCATACTGCGCTGTATGCCTCAAATCATCTTTCCGCTGGCGAAATCAGCAGTCTATCCTTCCGAAAAGAGGCTGCAACACAGCAAGGCGAAATGCATGTGAGCCGCGAAAAGCCCAAAATATCTCCGCCTGCTGCTCTGCGCCATCATGAAGCAGAAGTTCCGAGCACGACTCACATAAGCTTGTGAGCCAAGAGCCAAACATCCAAAAGCTTGGCAGTCCAAACAAACAGCCAAGGACCTTTGAGACTTGCAGACTTGAATCAACTTGAATCATAAAACACTCGGCACAGCAATTTGCACGTCCAAAAAGGATTTAGGACAATGAAAAAAGGATTCAGGGCTGAAGTAAATTCTACAGCTTGATACATCAATCTCCGACAGCTCCGGAGAAGCCATGGGTGCTTGCCACATATCTCGTCACTTTCAGAACTGCTCATGATATATCTCTCAGTCACATGTGGGCAGGATCAAACTTGAGAGAGGAGGAGGGGGGTGAACGAAAGGTAGCAGGGAATCAGGCGTAATCCGGGAGGAGGTGAGAGGCCCCCCACTTGTTTGAAGAGAAGTGACTGAGCGTGATGAAAGAAAAACTAATGCACATTTCTCAAATGCAACTTCGGATTTACATAGTGACGTGCTGCGACCCTGTAAATTGCGTGGCCGCAGGCCATGCTTGCAAACAGGACGAGCTCAAAAACACTGGTATTTACGAGGTTTTGTTGCCGTCGATCCACAGCCGCGGCAAGGTCTAAGGCCACGCTTGAAGACAGGAGGAGCTGAAAACACTGGTATTTACGGTGTTTTGTAGCCGTCGATCCAGAGGCGCACCACGGCTGTGTGCTGGAAAAGCGCAGAAAACCGTGTAAATACCGGCGTTTTTTGCCGGGAAGGTGCACAAAACCCTGTAAATACCATAGTTTTGTGCAATTTTGAAGCCTCCAAAAGCCTCAGAATCCCTTTCCGACAAAATCTGTCCTGGTTTTTGGTCTTTTTTCGGTCATTTTTCTAACCGAGACGCATCAAAAACCATCGGTTTTTGCGGTGTTTTTTGCTGGACAGCCACAAAAAACGCTGTAAATTCCATGATTTTTTTGTCACTGTTGAGGACTGGAAGAGCTGAAAACACTGGTATTTACAGTGTTTTCGGACCGTTGACCCCGAGGCGCGCCAGGGTGGAGTTGAAAGGGGGGGGGGTGAAAGAGTGACTAGGGCGTACACGGTAGAGGTGCAGACCGCTAGTGTCTTTTGCTCACGCAGAGTCTTATCCTTAGGTCCATTGACCCTCTCTTGAGCCTTGAAGCAGTCAAGCATGGACACACTATATCAGCTGTTGGAGTGGAACCCTGTACAGGTAGGCTCTACTTTTCAGCAGGCACAAGATTCATGTCCACTTCTAGCTGATTGCGTATGTCGCATACTCTTTTTCTACTGCAAGGCTAAAACAGTCCAGCTAGCTCTGACAACTTAAAAGAAAACTACGGTGCCATGTACTTACCTAATCCAGTGTGTTTCACACTTCAGAGAAGGTAATCTCATAGCTACTAAATACAGTGAGGGAGCAATAGCTGACTCACCTCAAGTACAAAATCAAATCGATAATGTACCTCGGCTGGAGACTGTACTTTTCGCAGGCGGAGATACCATGTACCGGCGCTCACTAGCTCTTTATGGCCTGAGCTAAATCAAACTAAAAAGGGAAAGCGGCTTTTTCTCTACAGAGACCTATAAAAGAATCAAACGACACTCGCGTAACAAAGAACTAAAAATTCAAGACCGCACAATGCAATGAATTAAGATGCCTTGCAAAATGCAAGGAGCGTACGGTCCGAGGAATAATCTTCTCGTGACGTGGTCTCGACCGCTTTCATTCACAGACAAAATAAAACTGCATCAAAAGGACTCTCTTTCACATTCACATCAAAAACACAAGAAGGAGATACCGGCAAATGTATGTACAAAAAATCTTGCACTACAAATGCAAATCATGAAATGACTTAATCATCAACCATGACTGGTTGTCCATTAGAGGTCACTTCATCAGAGCGGTGGTGATAGATATCATCAGTTCTGTAAAACTGTCCATACCTATCTACATGCTAAAGCATATAAACCTGGAATGCAGGAGTATCTTCTTTGATAAAAAGTTTCTCCTCATTGCAAACCAGAATTTATTAAAACTTCAGCCTGGCAACTTAAAGTCAAGCCTGGAAGCAAAGTATCAACTGTAACCAGAAGTATCTTCACTTCCTAGCCATCATTTAAATTTCAGCCTTCGCTCAGGAATTATGCCGCTGCAGACGATGAAGCTGCTTGACCAGAAGTTGGCGGCCTTCCTTTCTTTCTATTCTGCTTTTGTCTCTCCTTCCTCCGCAAGTTCGCCTCATGAAGAGTTGGTCCCATGCGATACTGTCTTCTGTCTCCAGATGAAAAGGAAGCTGGTCTGAGTGAAATAAACATTGGACCATGACTGTCCTCGTCAGTGGGCCTTGAGCACATAACCTCTGTGTCAATCATAGCAAAGTTCTCTGAAAAATTACAGATGAACTCCTTCGTGCTCACTGTGGAATTTTCATATTCCTCTTCACTCATTGAATGACCCCATTCAACAATGGTAGACAAACATGTATCGCCAAGCTGTGATCCTTGGTATTCTTCTTTTTCAACAGTAGAATATTCTTCCCAGAGTTGGTCAAAGTAATCTTCACACTTCTTGAGGACCTGTGAAGTTGAACTGTAAAAAGTTCTGGGAATAGGTGCTTTGATACCAGGATCTGCTTTTACACGGGCTTCTGAAAACCTGCGGATCCAATGCTGCATGGTGCTGTAATAGTAGTTAGCCATTGGCTGCCTTTTGTACCCAGACATTCTGTAGGCCAAACTATTTGCATCACCAGAAATGATGTCCACCTCATAGACAAAACACTCGTAAAGCATCAATGCTGTCTGTTCTCCTGTCAGTAGGTGGGCATCCACAGCACGGTGTGTGTCAACATGATAATTACAGACTCTGATGGTATGCATGTTCGCTCGAGTAAGTGGAACACGCTTGTCCTCAGGACCATAGTCATCAAATTCAAAGTCTGCATCCTTGAAATCTTGACGAGGCCTTGTTTCTCCAAAACAAATCTCGTAGATAGCCCAAGTTACATCACGCTGTTTACAGTGACCAAGATCTTGGTCATGTCCAGCAATGATCTTGACATATCCACCTGGTGCCAATCTAGCCATCACTGCAAGATTCTCCCAATCATTGAAACAAACTGTCCAATTCTTTTGCTCAATAAATTCCTTGGCAGGAACAAGAAGATGAGCTTCCTGGAGAATCACGACATGTGCACGTAAAAAGAAGAGCATGTTGAAGAAAAGGTTGTTCTCAAATTGCTCATTCTGAAGTGACATGGCGCTCTGTTTGCGTGGCTTCATTGCACCATCAAGTCCTTGGAGAAACCTTGGTGTGGTGTACTTCTGACCACGAACCATGTTGCCATAGTTCCAGGATAAAAATGTCAAGGACTCTGAGCTGGCCAATAAATTAGTTCCATATGGTTCTTCTATTCTTCCCTTGAGGAACCTTCTGCACAGCTCTTCATAGAAGGTGACAAAGTCCCAACTGGGTCCCTTGGGACCATATTCTTCCAGTTCATTCTTGAATTCCTTCTTCGTCTCCTCCAATTCTTTTCGAGCATGTTCTGCCCTTTCAAGGGCCTTTGGATCGACCTGATACCTGCCATCCAAATAAATGATGCGGTCATCATTGATGAAGAATCTCTTTAAATCATGCTCTGGTTCATGTTCATAACAATCAGGTGGAGGTACTGGACAGATATTACGAATGGATCGAACAAAATCATTCTCGTTGATCCTTGACTGATAATGAGAACGGGAAATCTCACCTTTTCTGAAACAAACATGATTCAGCAATCTTGCATGAGTTTCCCTGAAGCATAGTTGATAAAAGCCAATACCTGGATCTCCTGTAAGCTCTCCAAGCAACTTCAAAGGTGAAGTATGCAATTCATAGGTATTGTCAGCTTTTGTTGTATCCTTTTCAACAACTACTTCAGATGGAAAAGATTCTTGGATTTCAGCCTCCAATTTCTTCTCTTCATCATCCTCTCTGACCTCTTTTATTTTCTCCACCGCCTCTTTCTTCTCTTCCATGGTTGCATCATCCTGAACTTCTTCATGAAAATGAGGATCAGGAATCTTATTCAGGCGGCTTCTCTTCGATTTCCGCTGACCTGAAGTATCATCAAGGTTAGCATCCATCTCACCTGATGGTAAGTGCGATGCAGTCGAGTCTTCACCTATCTCTCTTGACAGAAAGTGTGGTGTTGACTCTTCCTTGGCTTCCTCCTGGTCGTCTTCCATCTTTGGTTCCTCTGAAGGAAAGACACCTGCATTCTCATCAAATATTTCTTCTTCCTTTTCAGGTTCAACTGCAGGATCTTCTTCAGGAACTTCCTCTTCCATATTCTCATCTTCTAGAAGTGTTCTACTTCCAGTATAGACTTCACCAGTGATAGTGGAGACTCTTGTATAAGGAGGAACTTCTTCACCTGCTTCAAAAGCTTGTTCTGCAACATCCTTGGTGAGCAAGTCCTCTACAAGATTTTCTCCCTCGGTTCTTGGAAGAGGTCCTGAGGTCTCATAAAAATCTGTCCTCTCTGAACTGAAAGCTTCTGTCGCCTTCTCATTGTCCTTTTGATCCCTGAACAGGTGAGTAATCTTCACAGCTTCTCCCTGTAGCACCTGATCACCTCCTCTATACTTGTCGACAATGGAGCGCCATACTGGAACATCATCATCAAAATCAAGCTCCATATCATCTGCCAACAGGTATGAGATGTTTTGAGCTGCCTGTTCTTCTTCTTCATCACGTTCCTTGGCAAGCTCCTCATCCTTCTGGATCTTGAAGATACCCTTCAGGATGTCTTGTAGTACCTTTAAGTTCAGCTTCGATGATGGCTCATACGTCCCTGAACTTACAGGCTCAACTACAACACGAGAGCAAGAAATCGCCTCCAAAAACTTGGAATTGTATTGGCGTTCAAACTCTTCCTTCTTGATCATCTCATACAAGGGATCAGAAACTGCAACACGCGCCTGAACATACTCACGAAGTTGATAACATGCATGTTGCACAAATCTACTGTTGGAGTTGTGAAGAAAACTCTCCAAATGGTTTCTGTCACGGTCAAT